TGTCCAGCAGAGTTTTGTCCTTTGTCTTTTCGTAAATTATCTTGACATTTACATATGAATACGTCGAAGTTTGAAAAAAAAAAAACAGTTCATATGCCCCAGTACTTTAGGAAAACAAAACGAGAAAACTTAAGTGGGTTATTGTTTTTTAAAGTAAACACTAAAAAAAAAGCGTGGGAATGTAACTTTTAATTCATATTCTTTTACTGATTCCCCGCCACCCCCCCCCCCCCAAAAAAAATACCCGCTTTGCTTACTTTCAACACTGAAAAAGCACAACTGGGAAAGGAAATGTGACGTTTCGTAATGTTGATTACCTGTTTGGCGAAAGGCTTTCGTGCCACACTTTGCGATTGTCTGGGCAGGTCTTCTCATATGTGGTGACAGACTGGTATGATGATTTCAATTCTGTTTATCGACGGTTAATTTAAATTTATTTATTTATTTAAATACGTCAATTTGGCAATTCCAGATAGGTTGATATTGGTTCCTGATTTTCAATCAGGCAGAATATTTACTAATTTAGTGTTGTATTCTGAATGTCTATACCTTAGTCTTAGAGAAAAAACACGTCTTGTCTTACTAAGAGTTCGATACAACAATGACAACAGTGGCAGGCAAATCATTTTCAAAAGCAGACTACTGAAGAAAATTTCTCGCAAAGTATGAACTAATATAGCTAAACGTGACCACATGAAGTGTAAAATCAATACCAGTAACTTCCCAAAAAACGCACCATCTATTCTATATTACAGAGTCTTATATTCGGTTTTTAAGCTCGTTCACAGCAGAAATTCAGGGTAGCAAATCTCAGTGTTTTGAAGGGCTCTCGATATGACTCAGGGCTTATTTTATTCCTTCATTCCCTTGGATTAATTGGAGGTGAGGCGGCCTCACCTCCAAAGCCAGGGAAAAGCGCCCTGGGGACGAGGTTGTTGTCAGAGGCGTGGTTCTACCATCTCTCAAGACACTGAATTCGAAGTAGCCTTACACGTAGACGTTCTTAACCTGCGGACGGGAAGGGAAAAGGAGCGCACCTTCGTGCGCCTCAATTCCTCCGTTCTTTACCGTTTTATTGCCTACCACGTAGCCTAATAAATTGAAAGTTTATCTTTGTACTGAAATTCCTTTTCATAAAAGCTATAAGCTGGGGTCAATTTAATAAAACTGATACAAGCGTAATTTACCAGTATAACCGTTATTTTACAGTCTGAAAACAATACCTGCATTTGTAAATTACACTTGTCAACGAGAGTATTAAGACAATGTATTGCGTCATACACTGTTATATTTTTGCTGTGTCGTCTCCATATAAGGCAAAATTATCTCACAGGCGAAGGTTGCAGTGCCCTTCTTCCAAGTGGCAGTAGGCCTCTTTTAACTGAGTAAGGTGAGATGTGCAGCTGTTCACATGAAAAATATTGTAACATTTGAAAGTAAATGAGAGCTAATTTTCAGGAGGTGTTGGGTGCCAGGATCCACTTCTAAGAGAACTTTTAAGGTATTTTACCGGGAAAAGGTCGAGGATAATGTTTGTTTTAATTTAGTTTACTTTTGACTACAATTCCTCAATGTAAACCGAGAGGTTGAGGGTAAAGCTGAGACGAAACTCGTAAACAAAAACCCGAAAATTGCGCAAACCGAAATGGTACTCGCTGGGCGTCATCATTGCTAGCCAAGTTTCTGACTACTTTTTCCATGTGTTAATCTTAAAAATCCTGTGAATATTGCTCCACTCCGTAAGTGTTAAAGATTACTTTCTGTGAATTTAATTTTTCAAAACACGACACAGGCCTCATTGACATGTTTTCGGGAATTCACATTCACTTCCGACTCCTTGCTTGCTATAATTCACCTTGTTGAAACGTGAAAATGGCTTACCTATCTATGGCCAAAGCTTTTATAATTACTGAAATATTATCATAAGCGTGGTAAGTTGTTAAAATATTGATTTTAGCCTCTTTTCTTCTCGTTATATGTTTCTTGTCATCATCAATGAACCGCTTATTATTTTGAAGTGACCATGTAATTCATACACGCTGTTTTTCAACTTCTCTGTTTCTGATCGTGTTGAGTTTTGTTGCCATATATTGAAACGTTCATAGTGAAACAAGTATTTCACTATTTGCACAACAGACATTTTTTTTTTTTACTTCCTTTGCATATTTGGCCACATAAGGGCCTTATCAGTTAAGTAGTTAATTTTTTAAGTGAATTAAGTATTTAATTTTGCCAACATTTGATCGCGCAGGTGGAGCTGTAAATAAGAGTCGGTCATCGGTTAATCATCCAATTAAAATTTTATACCCATGTTCGAAGAAATTCTATCCATAGTCGGACGTGCTGATCGGGTAGATCAAATAATGAAGACCAATATTCTGTAGGTCCGACAGTTTTTCTGGTTTGCCTTACTATAATTGCGACCTAAAATGTTCAAAGCTTTGCAGTGAGACCACTCGCCTGTGGCTCGTGGTTCCACTTGAGTTTTGGACATTTTATTGCGTCATTTCTATGGTCTATAAGAGTTTATAAAATAACTAAGATAGTATGCGTGTTCTGATTGGTTAAAAACCTATGGTTTATTGTGCCGGTAAACTCATAGAAAACTGAAACATGCTTTAAAGTTATTTCATAAAAGCAGTAGACGACACTTTCTATGGGTTTACTGGCGTGATAACCCACTTAGTAGGATGTTGTGAGAACACTCGAAAAGCTCAGTTGTAAATCACAAGCCGAAGACGAGTAATGTACAAGCTTTTCTCGTGTTCTCCCAACATCCTGCGTGGGTTATCACGCCGGTAAACCCATAGAAAGTGTGGTCTATTGCTTAAGTAGACCATTGTGGTCGATTTGTTAACTAGTATAAATACGACCATGTACCTCTTTCAGCAGCGAATTCTGCCGGCAGAATTCGAGTCGCGAACAAGAAAAGTGTTGAAACGAAGATATGATTGTCGCAGTGGTAATTGCAACTTAAGCAGTTGTATGGGTCTTCATAGCGCAGTAGGTAGATCACTGCAGCGCTAAAACGCAGGGGCCATGGATTCGGGTTAATTTGCAATTACTTGAATTGCAATTACCACTGCGACGATCATATCTTTATTTAAATTTGTATTTCCGCGGTTCACATCATCCTCAAAAAAACATTGTGATATCCGAATCGAACTGACCCTGTGATTTTCATCTCACATCGAAAAACACCAGCGTATTAAAAATATATTTTGATTACAGAATAGGTTCGATGAAATTATATGCTAAAATCCTAACGCTCGTTTTTCCTGAGCGTTACATTTTGAAAAAGTGTCGCTTTATTGTTTGGTTGTATTGTTTCTTTTGTTGTACGTAATCTGTGCCTCGGTACCTACAGAAGGAACCCTTCGAGCAGGCTTCAGTCGCGCGAGCAGGATTTTGAGCAGCAAACGTGATTTTCAGGAGTTCTTCCATGGGGGTTGGAGGCAGGAACTTCAGTTTACTCTGAAAGACCAGGATCTGTTTACATGATAAAACCAAGAAAAATACAGTAGCAATAAAATACGAAATGAGCTTAAGCGTGGCTTAAAATGAAACAGTTATTTAATTACGTTTTCAGTTGTTGTGTATCAAAAACGTTGTAACAACTTCGTCTATAACTAAACATGCTACGCCCTGTAATTTTGTCTTACTGAATGCCATGCTGTTATCACATAATTCGCGGTCTCTCTATCGTTTCTTTTGTTAACGCCCATGACACTATCATTTTGGGAAATATATTTTCTAAACAGTGTTCAAGGTTAATATCAAGACTTGCTCATACCATGTATATCCTAGAGAACACTTCACAGTGGAACAGCAAAACGATGTTAACTAGCGACTTTTTCAAAGTATTTTTTCTTTAACCTAAACTCCGTTTTTACCTGTTCTTGTTTTAAATCATTGGAGGCCTTTTCCTCTTCTCCTTCTTTCTAGATCAGTTTTTTGCCAAGCGGAAGGAAACATTAATAACTCCGCGCTTTGTGATGCAAAGCTAGTTATTCCATCGCCTACACTCTACTCACATGACCAATATATTCAGTGTCCTGTATACGATTTATAGCCCTGTCGGCTTGGCTTTTATATTGAACCACAGTTTTACCATGAAAAGTTCAGTACGTATAAATATTTGATCTTAAGTGAGTCGATGTCACTTCAATTACAAGAGAACCAAATGACACGTTTGTGGACGAGTTAGACGAGAGTTTGTATTGTGATGTCGCGTGATAGCTCGAAAGAATCATTTCTTCACTTTTACAGTCAAGGATCCGGAATATTATTTGTAAGGTCGTTTCGCTGTTTTATTTGCTTTCTTTGAGACCTGACAAGAAACTTTTAATGCGTGATTTTACATTTCTTCGGACATTTGCTCCGAATTTTAAAGGAAAGTAAATTTTTAAGGCCAGGCTCTGCGAGCAGATGAATAGATGCTTAGTTTGAATTCAAAGTACGCTGTCGAACGCTACACATTGTTTTCAGAGCTAAAAGTGTAAAGTATCTCCTTAACTTATTATTACAGTCCCCTAACGAGGTTTATTTAAACCAAATGAAGAAAGGAATAATTTTCTAGCATCCAGTAGGGTAACGTTAATTAATGTTAAGTATTTCAACTCCGGCTTAGAGTTTCGTTGTTTTTTAAAGTATCCCTTCCCAAAGGGAACAAATGTTAACACATTGTTTCACCTTTGTCTTTGGAGTAATGATAAAACTTTGAAAATGATAATGCGCAGCATAAATGCTCTTTTCTCTTGAAGTGGCGAATTTTGATATTCCCCGGCCTTTAGCACTAAGTACGGAAGGAACATGCGGAATGTACAATTCTTATGTTAAGAAATTAAAACTCTATTTGCACATTTGTGGAAACCATAATTAGCAATCTCTCTTTTTGTCTTATATTAACTGACTAATGGTTTATGCTCCTGCTATATAAAAAACAACCCCGGTTTGTTTTAAATCTTGTTCTGTTTTGCTTCCTAGATTTATTACGCACAATGGATCATTTTGCAAGCATTTGGACTGTGGTTGTGTTTTTAACTCTACTGAAAAACGCAGGTAAGCCGTACAGCCTATATGTTAACTTGATTGTATGTAGTCCACAATTTTTTTTAGTGTAGTATATATTACAATATCAACGCTAGCTAACTGATTTGACGGCTTGGATAGCACGAATACAAATTTCGAACCATGTGTGATCCCAGCGCTCGCCGCTCGTAAAGACATTTTAGGCATACGATTGTTGTGCATATATTAACAACTACACTGTAAGACAAACGGAGTGGTCTTTAAAGCTGTTACTCTTGACTTCCAAAGATTAAAGTAGTTTAATGTGAGACTACAGAAATTTGTTCATCAGAAACAATCTAAGTCCACCGGAGGGTGTTTAATTTCGAGAACGCACTCACAAACGTATCAGCGTTCATTTACGGCCTTTCTGCGGACTACAAGTCAAAGATCGCAAACGGCCATCGCATTGGATTGGCGCTGTCACTCATAATAGTAGGCGAAGTTAAATTGAAACAATGTTTTTGTAAAAACGTAAGATTTAAATGATACTCTGCAAACGTTCTACCAAAGAGGTTTCATATAAATTTGAATGGTTACACCATAGGATTTCCTGATACACAGCATCAAAAGTTAGAGTTACATACTAAAGAAATAATACCATGTGAAAGTACTGGTGAAGAGGTTTTATTTGAATGGTAACACCATAGGATTTCATCCACAGACTCAAAAGTTAGAACTGCGTACTAAATAAGTAGTACCATGTGAAAGTACTGCTGAAGGGGTTTCATTTGAATGGTAACACCATAGGATTTCATCCACAGACTCAAAAGTTAGAACTGCATACTAAATAAATAGTACCATGTGAAAGTACTGCTGAAGAGGTTTCATTTAGATGGTAACACCATAGGATTTCATCCACAGAATCAAAAGTTAGATTCTACATAATATACTGAATAGTACCATGTGAAAAGTACCACTGTAACTCGGTTATGATATAATTTTTTGTAGAATTTACCGTTGTCATATATTCTTATTTCACAATGTCTGCTAGTCGAAAGCCTATTCAAAGTAATAGTATAGAATGAGCGCATGGCTTCACCTGGGTTTCCATTAAAAATACATGTTCTATATTCTTTGCAGGAAGTGAAACTCTAAAGGCGTCGAAAAAGGTAAGCCGAGCGGGGAACTGGTATGACTTATGTCCGCGAAGGCTCTATGGATCGTTTGGAGAGACAGCAAAAACATTGCGGACAGCAGCAAGCCATCTGTTAAAAGACGCTGTCAAGGTCCCAAAAACACATACGTATTGCAATTCAGGGTCCGTCTTTAAGAATCCTGTAATAATCGAAGAATTAGTTGCATTTTTGAAACTTTTATTTGCATTTTGGAACGCAGCACTTGTAGTGCGCCATGTGCTGTCCTTCCAAACGATCCCAAGAAGCTTTGTGGTCTCATATCGTACCCAGTTTTTAACTCGTTTAGAACTAACATGTAGCAGTGCGTGTTTTGAATGAGATAGCTGTTCGAACAAGACTTAATTCGCCTAAAAATTGATTATGTTACTAGGTAATACCTTAAGTTGACATCGAGAACATAAAGAACACAAGCGCTGAACAAGCTCCGTTAGCATTGAAGCAGTTCAGTAGCATTGTAGTTAGCATTGCAGTGATAACCGAAATCAATTTCGATCGTGAAGTTTAATTTTATTTACTTTTTTTTACTTATTTCCTCTCAGAATCTTCATCATCACATGACCAAGAGAGAAGTAGAGTATTTATTTGGCGTCAAAGATCATTCTGAAAGTAAGCGATGTTTGGAACCTATTCGGTAGCGCTATCAGGAGCTCATTATCCTACAGAGTTCATCGGTCACAATAAGTGTGGCAGCGCGTTGGACGTTCATCTATATTTAGATTTCTTTTCCTCCTATATATAGAGCGTTTTCACTCATGAGGTCAAAAGCTATGCAAATTTATTGGAACAAAATAACATTTTTACATAACAAAAATTTTCAACTCCCACAGGACTGGTTTGGAACACCAACATGGCTGACGTTTCATCGTTATTAAGCACCAATATGGTGGACGTGACGTCATGTTAAAACGCTCTATTTGCTTCGTTCACGAACGTACACACAATAGAATATGACTACATTTGTAGAAGATTAGAAAGAGACCTGGCGTCTTGTTCTTCGAACAACTTAGGTCTCTTTGCTTAACCCTTTAAACCCTAAGATTAAAATTAACATTCTCCTTTGTCGCCCCTATTCATTTACTATAGAAGTAGTGGGGAGAAGTTGATAAAATATCAAGCAAACACATTCTCTGTGATCATGTCCTTAATTCTCATGACCACTCTGTTTTACAAAGCATTGCTATAACAAGGAGAAATTTGATACTTATCACTGGTTTAACATCCACCTTTCCTGGAAATACTGCTCTGCTCAGATGGCTGAGAGCACTAAAGATGAATCTACAAATGATCTGTTAATCTAACACATTGTAACCTAAGCCTAATGTGACAAATGGACGCTCGGAGTTGTTTGGCCCCTGCGCTCGCAAGCTCGCACGATGCTGGGCCCACTCTATCCAACTGTTTTTGTAAATGGGTAGGGGCTGTTGAGTAACCCGCGATGGATTTGCTTCCCGTTCTGGGGGATGGGGTTGGTAGAAATATTCCTAGTTTCTTCATGCCATGGAAACCTGGATAAGCTCCAGCCTGGTGGACTACTCGACTAGAGTACAAACTTGACCTCAGTATGCGTGTCCATTCCTTTTATCTGCAGTTCCCGAATATGACGTAGCCACACCGCACGAAACAGAGTCAAATGGAAGAATGATGTCCCCCTTCGGTCGCAGACGGCGCTCGTCTAATACAGATCTTTTACACTATAAACTTCATGCATTTGGATCTAAGTTTCGGCTGAAGCTAAAGCCAAACAAAATGCTTATGACGCCAAACTTAGTCGTCGAGAGACACCACGGAGGGGGAAGAGTTTCTGCTCACCCTGTGCCTGAAAATAAATTCTACTTGGGAAAGGTGTCCTCGCATCCAGACTCCCTGGTGGCCGTGAGAAGCGATAAAGGACTGGTAAGGCTAGGATTTTAAACTTTGTTCTTTTTGCTGGTTCTGCTTCCGCAGCACCAGCAAATAGATAACTTAAAACCGCGGCAGGATAAGCTCAGTCGGTAGAGCGCTTGCCTGCAGAGCGGAAGGTCGCGGGTTCGATCGCTGTGGCCGGACCTATACTCAGAGTCTCAAAATAACTGAGAAGTAAAGGTACTACCGTTGCCCTGCAAACGAGTAGACCTTCGCGTGGCTCGTATGACCACGTAAAATGGCGCTCCCGTCTCCAGTAGGAGACGTAAAAATAGTATTCTCAATTCGTACTTTGGTGCTAACTACATTGAAACGCAAATAAAGTGCGTTATGAATTTTCATTTTTGATTCTGTTCGTGTTGAACATTTAGACACCTCTATTGGAAAGCTTTTTAATCACAGTAATAAGTACAGTACGGTGAATGAAAAGACAAGTCAACAATAAAATTATAATGAAATAGGAAAATATACAGCAGGTTTAGTTAGAGCAATTTAAGTTTTTATCCAAACCTCCAGTCTGTGGTAGTCAAAGTAACAGAGCCTTTGAGTTGATCACTGCTTACCGTAGAGATATCGGAAAGGGGAAACTGAACTAAATAATTCAACTTTCCAATGGTAGATCTATCGTAACTCAAAAAATCCTCCACAATCTTGGATCATGACCACTTTAAAGGAAAAGTAACATATTCATATAACTTTTTCATTCCAATAGTCCGGCATGATAAGGACGTCAGAGGACACTTTTTTCGTCCAGCCTCTCCCTGCACATTTAGCAAAGCGCGTGAGGAGAAGCACCGACAGAACGCCTCATCTGATTTACAGAGCTTCGTCGTTGAAACTTGGCAACTCTAGCTGTCAAACGAGCAATTCATCAGGTTTGTATTGAGTTGTCGTGTTTTAGAAGTGCGATATGTGAATAGTGTGTGAATAGGGGTTAATGTGCACCAACCGTGTAGTTGATTTCACACCGCCGACAGATCATTCTTATTACAGACCTTATTTTTCTTATTAACCTTTTAAGCCCCAATACCCACATACAAATTCTCCAAACTGATCTCTATACATTTCCTTTAAGAATTAGTTACGAGAATTTGATTAAAGATCAAATTATTTTCTCTTAGGTAATCATTTTATTAATTCTCATAACCTAATCTCATGATAATGTATGAATATCGTCAGGAGAAAATTGCTGTTGGTCACTATTGGGACTTAAAGGGTTAAAGACCGTTTTCTCTGTATCAGTACGGGGAGATTGTGTCTCTCATGTCTCTCTCGCAACTTAAATGTTGCAGCAAACTTTGTGAGAGGAATATATTGATTCCACTTTGTACAATGCGGGATACCTCAGAGAGGTGGTGCAAGGCATGATCTTTTCAAAGGGTGTTTTACGACGTATAACAGGCATTATTATTCATTCAATATATTTCCCCGTATCTGATTGGTTAAAACCACACGTGTTATTCACCATAACCAGCTGCTGTTAACCAAATTTGAAAAGAATTTTGTCATGTTGAACCGATGACGTCAAAATGACGTCAAAAGTGCAGCCTTGTTGCAGTTCTTGAACTGTTGACCGAGAAAACCTGGGACGAGGTTGAGTTGTTTTGGTAATTAGAACAAAATGGCGGAACTGTCACGGAACATTTTCCTCGTTTCACCGCGAAATATTGTCTTAAAACATTGCAAGAACAGCAAGAGGACAACTCGCCGGACAACATCTGCTATTTGGAGTATATTTGCAGACCTGAGCAGACATTAATCTCCTAAACTTCCTGATACAGATGCATTATCGATATGAACTTACATCGACCGAGGCTAGCATCTTTTAGCTTGTTCTTGGAATTAGTTTGAAGGCATAATAAAACAATTATTGAATTCAGCTTTCCTAGGATATGAAGAATTCTGCAGATCGAGGAGGGTGTTATCCAAAGAGGCCGAAGGCCTCGATCTGCAAAATTCTTCATATCCTACTCAGCCTCATTCAGTAATTGCTAAATATGTCTTGTCAAATTGCAAAATCGCAGTTAATATTGAGGCCGAAAAGTAACTCTTTTTTACTCAAGGCAGTTAAATACATTTTTTTTTTAACTGTTTTACGTTTGTTTCTCCTTGTAGTTAACGACCCTTACAGGGGGTCAAAACATGTGCATGACAGAAAGCGTCGGGCCGCTAGTGGTTATAAATTTATGGAAGCTGCCTTGGTTGTTTCTCAAGACTATGTTAACAAGTACGGAGAAAAGGACTTTGCTACAGTACTTCTTGTCATTGCTAACATGGTATGTATGATCTGTGGGGATTCTTTACCTCACATTTAAATAAATGTCTCCGAGTGTTTAGCCATAAGAGCCTCAGACTGCGAGTTTATTACATATGCACAGCAAAACATCTCGACGTCACAACAGACTCTCATACGCTCATGCAAACACGCCTCTCGGCCAATCAGAGCACGAGTACTATCTTATTCGTTTTATTAATCAGAATTAAACCGTACACTGCTGAACCTCTCATAACCGTCCATGTGGATCCACGTCCCTTGTACCGTTAGTGACGTCATCATTTTTTAGCGGTCATAGGCCTAGGCCCGACGTCGAACTTTTCATGAGACGAACTAAACTCTAAATTGGGTCGACCTAAATTGAGTTAAGATCGTCTGTTAGTTTATTTCGTCGCATGTGAAGATCTACGTTTTTCCCGGAGACGATCTTCAGACGCGCTATCCGTCTGAAGCAGTCACACAGAACGTGTTGGACGATCCAAACTCATTCAGACGAACTTAACTGAGCCAGACGTCGAACGTTTCATGAACTTAACTCACTAAGTTTGGTTCGTCTCATGAAAAGTTTGACGTTCGGCCTAGGCCATAGTCATCTTTGACTCCTAATTTGTGCAGAGGGGAAGAGATCTTTCGAAACGACCGTACTCGAATTATTACGCTTGAGTCAATCAGGCTAGAGAAAAACGAAAGAAACCACATAAAGGAGCCTGAGTATAGCCGCCCTCTCCCCTCAAGTGAAAAAAAGGGGAAAATTTTTTTCTTAAAGGGAGGGGAAGGCTATGCACAGGCGACATGTAAAGTTGACCAGAAATTTCCAATTAAAATCTCGTTCCACTACCCACCCGCACAAGAGATTCCATTTGTTGTTTTTTACCTTAGGTTGCTGGAATGTTTCGAGATTCTTCAATTGGAGCAACAAAGGTGTATTATGTGGTCAAAAAAATAATTCGTATCAATTCAACGAAAGACGAGGTACGTACAATAGAGCGCTTAAGCAACAACGACGGCGACGGCTACGAAAACGTCACTAAAAAGTGAATTTGCGCCACTTCAAACTTTATCGCGCTTATTCCACCTCGTCAGTTCGTAAAATGTTGGTAAATTTTTCTGGAGTTGAATTTTAAAAGACTGTATCAAAGTTCAAGAAAAGGAATAAGAAAGTCGTTGTCTTGTGTTCACGTCCTGGACAAAACGTGAAATTAGGCACTTTCACGTTGTAGTCGTGCTGCAATAGCCTCCGAAAACTTCCGTTTCTCCTCTCTCTTTGCCGCTGGGGACGTTTCGCGCGTTCCTCTGCGCGAAACGAGCCAGGAGAAACGGATGTTTTCGCAGGCTATGTTGCAACGGCAAAGAAATGTTCAAAAAAGAGTGATACAGGTGCAAAGTTGTTGTTTTGTCAATCAATCTAAACCTATTGCTTTTTGCCGTCGCTGTTGTCTCCCTAATAATTGAGAGATTAAGATTCATGTTTACACCAAACGGGCAAACGTGAATTTGTACCACGTGACCAAGTTTCCCCCTTAATTGTCGTTTACTGTTTAGTACTTTTACACAGAAATAAGTAGTTTCACACCAGTTTTATCCATAAGAATTGTACTGGACAGTTTTTATCTGCATATTTTCTATTCTGAGAAATTCTCAACTTGAATCCGACGTTTGCCGTTTGCCGTAAACGTGACTCTTAATCTCTCTAATACTTTAAGGGTACTGTGTCACGGCTGGCTAGCCTTCATTTTGTTTATGACGTCAATTACGCATTCTTATTCGCTATGGAACTTGGTCTTGTGAGCGACAAAATCACAGCTTCAGTTCATAGAAATATAGAAACCTGTTAGGCTAACAAGTTACTGCGCTTTTCACAGACATGCGAATTCTTAAGTTCAAAAGCTAACTGACGATTGCGTTTTTCGCTGCCGTCAATCATCTCAACGGACCTCTTAGAAAACAAAACTACACTTTAACGGGTTCAAAAGGTCATGGTTTGTGATTTGTGATTGGTGGATTTCAATCCGTTTTGTGTGTTTCTGTGTTTCAAGGTTCGTTGCTTGTGATCATAATTATGATTGACGGCAGCGAAAAACGCAATTGTGAAGGCGGCTTTTGAACTTTAGAGTTCGCATTTTTGTGAAAAGCTCAGTATGAACCACAATTACATATGGCGTTTCAATGTTCTGCAAATTTGTCTATCCCTGCCTCCTTTTGTATTTGGCGTGTTATTCACACCTTCCTGTGACGGTTTGAGAGGTGTTAGTAAATTTCGTGACACAGCTCTTATAATAGGCTGATTTAGCAACAGAATGGGAACGTCATTTTACGACAGGAAAGCACGCAGAAATGACCAAATACGACTGGCAACCAATATGGTTTTAGGAAAAATCGTTCTCCTTACCTTGCGCCGACAAAATTTCTGCTGCCTTTGACAAAAAAGAACATGCTATTGGAGTATTTCTAGATCTCTAGAAAGACTTTGATAGGTCAACCACGACATTCTTTTCAACAAACTTAAACACTATGGAGTTTGGGGGTCTTCCTCTAGAATGGGTCAAAAGTTACTTCTGCAATGGGTCACAATTTGTCGAATTCAACAACTACAGGTTTCTGGGTGTTCTTCTAGATGACAATGTAACCTGGAAATCTTATTTATCAGGGGCACCCAACGTCAATTTTTGGAAAATATCTGTTCGGGAGACGATTTGGGATCTAGAATTTTCGGAACATTTGTTGTAAAATTTCTTGCTTTCCTGCCTCTCCTAGGATTTTCGAAGATCTAAAAAATGGTATAATTTCCTATTTTTAACGGATTTTTACGATAAAAAGGTCATCTAGAATTTTCGGCAGCCTTTTTTCTGGCTGAAATTTTCGAAAAGGTAAGTTTTGATCCCTATAATTTTCGGATCACTAGACTTTCAGCTAGGAAATCCGAACAGATGAAAACTTTTTAGAGGATAAAAATATACCTATATCTATCGTTTAAATCCTAAAATAAGTTTAACAATGCTATGTTTAAGTGGTTTTGAACTATATTCTCGTTGGGTGCCCCTGATTTATCTTTCGTTGCCACGAAAATGTCTAAAACCTATAGGCATCATTCATAAATCTAGGTTATTTTCTCTCTCTACTCACTCTCTTCGTACCATATATAATTCAATGATCCTTCCATATATACATTATTGCAATCTAGCTTGGGAATGTACCTACAAATCTAATCTTAACTGAAACGATAGTTATTTTACAGAAGCGCGCACTAAGAATAGTAAGCAGGTCTAGGTTCGATGCCCAAACTGACTAAGTTGGATGGCGCAATGTTAAATGTAAATACTCACAACGCAGTTTCTTTTTGCACTAATTACTCTTCTCTGGTCGCAGCTCCAATTCAAGGACGGTGACAGCGACGTAACCAGGCTAAAGAAATTGTTGAGTTGGTCTTCAACTTACATGAATTTACCAAACGGAGACTCGGAACATTTTGATGTGTTTAGCTATATCACAGAGTAAGTATATGCGTCATACATACATATACTTTATTTATGCTCGAAATTTACAGAGTAGCTGATCTGATCTGGAGAAACATTAATGGGGGCACTGCGTATCACGTAGTGCGCATAACATTGTGACTTCAAAGGTGGCGGTGATTCTCACCAGTTGCCTAATAAGAGGTAATTAAAGCTTCCTTTTGTAGTCCAAATGCTTTTAATAGCGATTTTTAGAACTCTTTCCGGCTAAAGAGGTGTTTGTCTTGAAACTCGCCCCAGTCCCCTCGAGTAAAATGATCATTTGAAGCCGAAATTGTCCCTTGTTGTCATTTTACGATGAAACGAGAGCAGTGACCCCCCTTTTTATTTGTGCTTTTTACCCGTTATAGATACACAAAAAATATATATTAAGGAGAAAAAACTGGATAGAAGAAGTTGTATTTTTCTAAATATGAACAACACGAAACTCCGCATGTAGAGCCACAGAAAAATATGAGATAATGTTAAAATTGTCCATTTCTCTACAATTTTTTCAAAATCAGGTAATTTGAAGTCACTTAATAGAAAAATAGTTTTTGCTATGTGATAATAGTTTTTGTCGCTTATCGATGTTTCGAACGTTTCGGGCGCAATTAGGAAAAAACACTCAGTATTACGGTCAAACAGAGCGAAAACAAGCACATTGATCCTGTCCTTTTATTGCGGTTTTTTGAATGTCCTATATGCGGCTGACATTTCTGCCAAGTTTGAAAAAAACATAGTACATCCTTTTCAAGGGAATTATCTTAAAATATCGTATTTATTCGATTAGACGTCACATTCAAATAAACCCCTCCCTCCATTAAATGCCGCACCCAACCAGAAGAAAGTTGAAGAAGGCGGTGTTTATCGGTACAACTCGGTATTCTACACCATCCGTTCAATTCCATTCAATCTCAGCATAAAAGTGCACTTTTCGCTTTTACATGATATTGACGAATACCGTAATTGCTGTCACTGATTTAAGGAATGTGATTTTGAAATAAACTCCGCCCTCGAATAGTGTAGGCAGGTAATCAGTAAAAACTGAACTACGCATCACTTTTGTGACTGTTTTGGTTGGGGCCTTGAAAGCTCGAGAAAGTGGGAAAGGCACAGCGTACAGTTTGTGTGTGACTTACTGCAATTCGCCTAGAATTACGTATCTTTTAGCGTTTTAAGGATGTCGTAGTGGCAAGAGCACAGTCATCCCACCAATGTATTCCGGGCTTGAGTCTTGGAGTTGACGTCACTGCCATTCGTTTTCACAGACATAAAATTTCGTGACGCCGCTACTAGTTTCCCTGCGAAATGAAGTCTGAGGAACGTACGCGGAAATTCCTCACTGATGACGTGTCACTACCCAGATCTGATTAGAGCTGCTCATTGGTTTAAGCAAATTTCTGTAGCCTGCGAAAACATCCGCGAAGAGCAAGGAGAAACGGGTGTTTTCCCAGGCTAAAATCTCTCTCGAGGCACGAACAATCAGAAGCACTACCCAGATCAGGGTAGTGACACGTCGTCAGCATAGAATTTCTGCCCTCGTTCCTCCAACGTCATTTTGCGCAGAAACCAGTGGTAGACTGCGAGCAGTCTACCACTTTTCCTTCAGATTTAGTGAGAGCAATGCACGCGGGCGGGAGCGGCAAAGCCGCGAGACGAGCGAAACGAGGGCGAGTCACGCGCGTGGCCATTTGCGTGTCTCGTGTTTTGCTCGACGGACTACAGAAAAAAGAGAGACTGCTCGTAGTCTAACCAGTGGTCGCGTCGCAAAATGTTTGCTGTTTTCTTAGGCCAGTGTAAAGAAAACGAGGCTCGCCGCGTGACAAAGGTCTATGGTTTCATGCTTAATGTCACTGAACAATGTTGCATTTCTCCAGCTTCTAGTAAGGAGGCGTTCCTGCCATCTGGGATATTATCATGTGTATTCTTAAGACATGAAAACGATGCACCTGGCCTCACTCTTCTGGCCAAATTGCGTATCGCATTAAACAGAGCTCTCCCAATACGGCTTTCCGCCAACATCAATCATTGACTTAATAATTATTATGTAAAGGAACATGAAGCATGAAAAACTGTTCTGATTGTGCTTTTTCAATATTATTTTTGCAGCAAAGTGGTCGGAGGTAAGTACAACTTTTTGAAAGTACTCGTTTCGTTATTAGGGAGTTTATGATCTAAGTAAGGTGACGGCGGCGAGAACGTCAAAAAAAAAACTCTCTTATATGACCTATACGGGTAAGTGCCGCTGGTCAGGGTATGGTTTTTGACGTCTCTGTCCTAATCATGGTATATAATTTCGTGTGAGTCTGTCAGCAGGGTATGGCCTGCACGATTTATTTGATTTCCTAGATTAAAGTACAAACATTAACCACAAAGGAGTGCAAAGGACCGCAAACGAAATATGCCGGAAAACGTAGGATCTATAAAGACCTGATCAGCAAAAATGAAAAGTAGACATATTAAATTCTGCAAGCAGAATACTGCAATGCTGATCGTACTACGTGAAAATTAACTCTGCAAGACATCAACACGACACCGAAAGAACTCAAAGCAGAGCGGGATTGTAGCCATAGACAGCTGTTTCGCCCTCGTTGGGGCTCCTAGATGAATTTTCTTTGTACTCCAAGTATACAAAAGCAATGACTATAACGTGAATTTGCTCTGGCGTGCATTTTGTCCTTTGCTCTAAACAGGGTGAGGGTGTTGTCTTGATCACAGTATGTATTGAAGGAATTTTTTGTCCTTAACAGGGTCAGGGTTTCAACCCCTCAGCGGCTCACCTGTACCACCAACGATTGGTGATGATTGGTGATGGTCGAGTACCCCTCGCGGGAACGTGGTCCTACGACCAAGAGAAATATTTACCTCACCCCACTGGTAGAAATCTATACGGTATCCTCGAGGAAGTTATTTGGGCGACGGGTTAGGTTGGATTTGGAAAACTTTGCTTACAACTAAAAAATTTCTACCTCCCCCCATCTAAGTCAGAAGTAACGATACTTCACTTAACCTAGTGCGTAGCCCCCCCCCCCACAACGTGCGTACTGCAATCATTGTTATACAATCATTCGTGTTTTGTTTTATTTGTATTTGTATTTGTATTAGGTCGCGCCATAGCAAACCGCATGTGTGCTCCCAGGCTACCCAATGGCAACATAAACAGTGACGTGGGTCTCCAGTCAGCTCTTTATATCGCGCACGAGACAGGCCATAAGTAAGGTTACATAAAAATTTGGTAAACATGTAGCAGTATGATACTACATGAGAATGATATATTTTTACATATTTCAATAGTTCAGTAGCGTGTGTACAGCCGCCCCCTCCCCTCTCCTCCAATAAAATTGGAAAGGAGGGGAGCAGTTGTACACCCCAGGCTATGGTTCAGTTGTAGCAGCAAGTGCGAGAGGCGCTGACTCATGACTTAAACCTCATTGGTAGGGCCTACACGTTAATACCATCTGTTTTTCATGGTTTGTCGCATTGATGGAGTTTTCAGATATTTTTTCAATAGTTCACTATTCCAGCACTACCCTTTACTACCCCCAAAAAAAAAAGGGTTAAAGTTCTGACTCTTTGGTTGGATAACGTACGTTTTTTTTTTGTATTTGCAGCGCTTTTCTTGGCCACGATGTAACACCTGAATGCCCAACAGGTAGGTACATTATGTCTGGGACACTTCCCTCTGGGATCTATGCTGCCACATGGTCCAACTGCTCAAGCCGAGTACTTCAAAGTTTTCTGGGGTAAGTGGGCTTTCATTTTAGCTGTTGTCAACTTAATAATTGCAGAAAAGCAGTACTATGCTATGTGGCGCGGCAATGCTGTATACTTTTGACTGGTGTCAGTGGTTGCCTTTTGTGTCATATTTATATTTGAGACTTGAGTTGAAGATACATTCTGATACAATCAACTGCCTTTATTGCGGACGCCGTAGGGACCTCGAGTTAATGTCGTTATTAGTAAACAGGCATTTAGCTCCTGTCCGTAGTATCGGGGTGTCCGTTATAGCGAGGTGTCCGCAAGGCGAGAGTTGACTGTAACGACCTTACACAACATGATTTTAATATTTATTATTTATTATTTTATTATTTTGTTATCCTGTTAAAACAGGAGTATTTCGCATTAACTTATAACTAATTCTAATTATCACTAATTCTTTAAATTCTATCCAAAGAAATATTTGTATCTTTTTCTTTTCTTTTTTTTTAAACTCTTAATTAAGTCGAACCTTCCGTAAGCGAAGGCCCAAAATGGGAAAATTTAGTGGTCGCTCACTGGAGGTGATCGCTTATAATACAAGAATCGAACCACAGGGGTCTCTTTCGAGAGTAGGTCTCGACGCATTTCCTTTTTGGCAGAGAATTACATTCAAATTCGTTGTATCGCGCTGCGCGTTTTCCTGTTCAATCAATCATCTTAGCGGACCTCTTAGGAAATACATGTTTACTTGAATTCGATCCACTTTGTTTGTCTCTGTGTTTCTCGGTTCGTTGCTTGTGATGGCCCTGTTTCGGGCAATAATCGACTAGTTTTCTCTGAAAATTTTTCTGATCTTTCTTTTTCTTGTCTCTTGCAATAATAAAGCAATGTCTGCCTCCTGCCCTTTACAAAAATTCCACTCATCATCGCGATTTCCTTCGCTATTCTTGAGCAGTCTTGAGTCTTTCTTGGTTTTGTTTTTGCGGTCCAAGCTGGGCGTGCGCGTTGAGTTGTGATTTGCATCAACCCCGCCCCCACTCAAATGATTGAAAAAAACAGAAAAACTCATTCGAAGTTTTCGTGTAGTTCCTTGTTAAGTTGTCGCTGTTCTTCGAGAGGTTAAAAACTATGGAAATTATACACTCCAGAAAGTCATCGTGGTCGCTTAGGAGAGGTTCAAATTATTGGGCTTTGACTGGGAAAATTTAGTTGTTTTGGATCGCTTGTCGCTCATGTAAGGTGGTACTTACTGGCTTACATTTTATCCCTCTTTCCTCACATCAAATCATGTAAAACGTTGCTTCTTTTAGAAAGCAGCTTGACCGGCGTCAGATTGGAGAAATATGTCACCAATAAAAGTACTTGAAAATCAAGGCTATCATTTCACTCCTTTCGAAGTTTGATACTATACCGGTCTCCTTGTGATACAAAAAGTCTTATAAACACTGCGCACCCACAGGTGGTCGTTTTCTTTTTTAAAGTTAATTAACACCGCAAAATAAAAAAAATTAACATAAAAATTAGCCTGTTCCAGGCTCCAAGATAGTGGGGAAATTGAAGCGAGAAAAGTTGCGCGAAAACCGCGCGGGAGCTGGGGAGAGACGGAGCCTATATAAGCAGTGTTTTCAATACCTAATTACCTAATTCCGGTATACCAGCTCCTTGGTCAATTGTGACAGTTTACTTCAACAATTACGTCAATCATTTGGCTTCGCGCGCGCACAGTCAACCAACATGTCCAGCACCTGAAACCCTCCTACAGCAATTTTTTGACGTTTTGACACGAGAAACGGGGATCAATTTAGGTTTCTTGGAAACTGCCCACCTACCCCTCCCCAAAGCCATCATTTTGCCCTAAGCGAGAAGTAAGTGTTAATGTTAGCTTAGGGGAGAGGTAGGTGGGCAATTTCTCCGAAACCTAAATTGATCTAGAATCGGTTTGTCGGGAAGTGGGATGGGGTAATTGGCGGATGAGGTATTTAAAAAGATGCTTACTGGCTCTCCCCATCTCTCTTCACGCCTTTTTTCCCTCGTTCGCTATTTTACTGCTCCGTCAATTTTTTTCTGCTCGTCTGCACTGACCGAGAGCCCGGCACAGGCCACGTGACAATATAAAAGTATTTCTATTCACCATTGTCATCATCATCATCATCATCATCATCATCATCATCATCTCACCATCGTTATCGTAATCTTCTTCAAATATCATATCGGCCATTAATTTGACAGCGAGATTAAGAGACCATGTTCACCCGGTTACGTATGCTTAACCTAAGAATGGACGGTAAAAGATGAAAAAAAAAACTATCACATTCAGGGACAACTTGGTCAAGACTCGAGTCAGAGAATTCCAGGACGCACAACGTTCATTCCAGCATGTGTACTTGACACTTACGAAGTGTAATAGACTCTCGCAGACGTGGTCGAAATTTTTTCTGGGTATTTACTTTTTCCCTGAAATGCAAAGTTAAAACTGTAAACCTTCTTTCAGAGTCTGAGTATTTGTTATCATCATCATCGTCCTCGTCACTATAATCATCATTATAATCAAATTCATTATCATCATTTTTATTATATAAACACCAGTGAAATACCAGGTGAGCTTTCGCGCGAAAACTTGATATCTTCACGTGGGAAAATAACACGTTATCTTCACATGTGAAAATATCACCGTTGCTAGGGCTACATAACAGATCGCGCCTTTCACACCAAAAAACTATTAAAGTGAAATGGTTTGGTAGTTCATTGGTGTTTATATAATAAACAGAACATTACATGACCGCTTGGAGATACGAAATTTCTCTTCTAGTGTTGAAAAAACATTTCACTCGTTCTCTGCGCTCACTCGTGAAATATTTTTCCACACTCGAAGAGAAATTTCGTATCTCCGCGCGGCCATGTAATATCCTCTATTTCTCGTTTTTTTTTAAATATGGATCGTCGTCTAGAAAGCTACTGAAGACTTTATCATGGCGCGTGTTTTACAGTAAAAACCCGCGACTAAGAACCTACATTTTCTCAAGTTAGCCTAAACAGGTTCTTAAATTTATGGTATTAAGCACAAATTTAAGTTATGTAGGTTCTTAAATAGGCTCTTATTTTCTGAAGTAAAAATGGATTGTAGCTAACAGTACTTAATAAATGGTCTTCAGCTAATTCCCTATATAAGGTACGCATACCTATGTCTCCAAAGAGGATCCTGAATGTTGACTTATCTTATTTCCCTAAGTGTACAGAATTGTTCCTATAGATTTAAAAAAAACAGAACCTGTTTCAAATTTTAGGCTAAACAGTTTCCCGTATAGATGGGGCCTAACTGGCAAATTTTAGCCTAACGGGTTCTTAAAAACCAATTTCTTAGTCGCGAGTTTTTACTGTTTCTTCTTTAATCTCATAACAGGGGGGACCGCTCGAAGTGTTTAGATAATTCACCGTTTGATTACCTAGAGGCGCCTCGACTTCCACTCCTTCCTCCAGAAGACCAGCATAAACTGCCTGGTGAGGTGTTTGATGGGGATAAGCAATGTAGATTTCAATACGGCCCTGGATGGAAAAAATCTAACTATCGTCCGGTAAGTGGCCAGGATCGAGAATTAGATTAGTGACTTGGTACTCAGAGGCGGCGGAGCGTTTTGAAACGTGGGGGCAGCGTGGGGCCTCATATTTCACTCAGTGTGCGGTCCTGGGAACTTGTCAGGGATCACGTGACCCCTGTCGTGTTGTTCTGTTAGTCCGAACCATGTGCTTGTTGACTCGTTGTGTTCGGTGAGGGTATTTGAGCTGTTTAGTCGCTCGATACACTACACTCAGCCATGAGCATATCCCTACTCAAATATTCCAAAATGCCCTTTGCGTTGTTTGTTGGCACAAGCAAACATCTTAGTGTATCCGTAATGGATTTTTGTTCAGGCGTTCCTGCTTCATGGTACTTCTTAGGTAGTTCTTCAGTCGTCTGAGGGAAGAAAATTTGCGCTCTGGTGTCAACGATGCCACGTGTGCCCCCAAATTTTTGTTTGGGGGAGCCACGGCCCCCCTGCTCCCCCTGCTTCCCCTGCTCCGCCACAAATGGTACTGTTGAGATAGTCAAGACAGGTAGCTATTTGTTTATTTTTTTCTTTTGTTTGTGTGTGTGTGTGAAGGGGAGAAATGCAAGAGCCCAATAGGCGAATCCTTGCCATTAGCATACGGGTTAGGCGTCTCCGTATACACAAATAGGGTTCAAAAGTTGCAAGAGCTGGTTAATTTGAGCAGTTTGTGGAAGTTTCTGCTCTTTACAATCAATAACAAAGGAAACAGCAGTAATCAAAATCTGCGAAATCGCTCGGTAGCAAAAACAATAATGAGGCCCTATAAACAGGGGCGGATCTAGGGGGAGGGTGCAGGAGGTGCGCACCCCCCCCCCCCGCCCGATGATCTGCGGCTTTCTAATACAACTGGTATTCTGTATTAGAATTTGTTTACGTCACCAGTCAGTTACGCCATTCCTTATTGGTGCACCCATCCTAAGAAAAATCCTAGATCCGCCCGTGGTAAAGGTTGGGCGTTTTCTAGCCTATTCCAGGCGTTCAGATCGTGGGGACGGCGCAAAATGATGTGAGCAGAAAAAAACAGCGAGGGGGAGGGGTAGGGGCCGAGAGCGAGGGAACGCCTGTAGTACTTTTTAACAAAAGCTCGTTCCGGTATACCAGATTCTGGTATACCCTATGATTGGTATATTTTGACAGCTGTTGTTAGCACTCGCGGGTTCATTACTTTGATTGGAAATGTAATGGGTTAGCAATGAGATTGCACATCAGGTTATCTTGAAGCGAAATAAGTAACACGCTTAATGTGGAATATCATCCCCGAAGAACAGGAAAAATCGTTGTGAGGCTGGATCTCGTCAGCGGAAAGTAGGGCTTCGAAATTTTACCATTTATTCGCTTATAAACGAGCCAAGTTCTCTTCAGGAATATTAAATACGCGCATGAACCTTCTATTGATATGAGCCTTTGTTCAAAGTGCGAATACAGCTGTCTCTCCTTGCTCCTCGCTGTTAGGGACGTTTCGCCTTATGCGGCTACTTAAGGTGGCTGAACACAGTTTTGCAGGCGGTCAGCGGCAACTCGCGTGACGGCGAGTGTTTTAAATTAGACAAACAAACATTGTGGCGAAAAATCAATGGTACACAGGTGACGATTTCTCAAAATCTACTCATTAAAATTTTGTGATATTTGGCAGAAGTTTTGCTTTTATCGTATTTTAAATAATGAAAACTTTAAAATGGAAGTTGAACAGACGAATTTTGTGACACATTTAATAATTACAGTACAACTATATTATTGATTATCTAAAAACCCGTCTGTTAAAATTTGGTCAAATTAGTTTGAAATGGTAATGATTACTTATAATAAGCCGTGTGCAAGTTTATAGGAAAATCTAATGAGCGAATTTTATGTAGACTCAGCAAAAGTGAAATTTTAAGGTTGTATTCAGTCGTTCATGTTGCCATGGAAACTGCAAAAACGTCAAATCTTACCTGTCAATCAAAATCTTTCATCAGTTTATTTTTGCCATGATTTAGCAAATGACATATACTCACAAACTGCCTAAACTGTGTTCAGCAACCTTAAGTACAACAGCTTAACAGCGTTGGAGTCGCTATAACAGTGGGGAAGCGTTAGCCTGTTCCAGGCATTCGGATAGTGTATTGTGGCGCGGAGTAAGAGAGCGGGAAAAAAATAAGGAGGAAGAGAGGAGGGAATGCCTGTGAGATTGGTGGATCAATTTAGGTTTCTGAGAAACTGCCCACCTACCCCTCCCCTAAGCCAACGTTATCATCTACTTCTCTCTTAGAGCAAAATGGTGGCTTAGGGGAGGGGTAGGTGGGCAGTTTCCCAGAAAACTAAGTTGATCAGATTTGTTTTCAAGAGGTCATTCCGCCCACATTGTCGGCTAGTAATCCGACCAAGGTTTCTGGTGTTAAAATTGGTCAATCAAGCAACGGGTGGCAAACCGCGCTGTTTACTGAATTATTTTTGAAAAACAAGGTCAACTCCAGCCTTGTTTTCACCTGCATCTTTAAAATGGGCTCTTGAGACCTATTGATTTTTTGCCTTTCTCGTTGCCGTCCCCGTTTAGCATTACACGATTTTATTTTTTGTTTGAGTAAACTGTAACTATATAAACGAGATCTTCGCCTTAAGCCTTGACTAAATCTATATATTACCCCCTCTATACAATTCAGCAGTTGTATCATTGTAATCGAAGGTGAACAAGGTGAGCAAGAGGTTCGTTGAACACGGTAAAAAAGAGGCTTATGATTGGTTGTTGTAACTCATTATTTACCGCTTATTAAGATAACCTACTCGTCCATGTACCTTGCAGTGGCTGATCTAGAGGAGCACCCCCCTGCCTTTTGGAGACCGTCCCCTCCTTATCTCAGGATCAAAATGCCCCCCATCTGAAGGTCTGGATCGGCCACTGACTTTCACTTATAATTGGTTCTTTAGGGAGTCTGTTCCTCGCTGTACTGCATAAAGGGAGGCGTTGAATTAAGTCGAGCTGCTCCCGTTGCTGATGGAACTCCATGCGGAATACGTAACGTAAGTACCGTCGCTTGCATCTAAGCATGTACACGTGATGAAAAAACATGTTCTAATTGAGTGAAAACAAGACCTGTTTAGCCGCCAAGTGGCGTTAGAAGAATGTTCACGTGCAAAGTAGGTAACTGTTTGTCCACTTGATTTGTTTTCGAACAACAAAATATTCATGGCAAAACATTAAGAAGAATTTATGGAGTTGTGAAACTCCAAAGAATAATTCTTAAAAGCCAGTGTGCAGTTTCTCAGCGAGAAATATTACTGAAATTGAGAAAAAAAAGATGAGCGGAACGCGCTGATCAAAAACATGTAAACAACTTAAACTTTGGGGCGACAGTTCAAACTGCAAATGTATGGTGGCAAAACACGTCATTTCTGGCACCCTGTTACATGGGGAACATGTTTTTTTTTTACTCGTGTCCACGCTTAGATGTAACCGACGGTAATAACTCATAAACATAAAACAACGAATACAACTCTTGTTGAATAGAACGGTAAGGCTTGAGAAAAACTTCTCAAACTCATTGATTATTCATGCAGTCAAAAGCCGATAAATGACTACCATTTAGGTTAGGTGGATGATTCTTGATACCCAACGAAACATCGGATGAAACACCCCCACTGACCAGATTTTCATTTCAGATGAAAGATGTTTTTCACCTGAGAACAAACACTTACATTTAGTGAGATGTTTTATTGATTAACACAACTCATGGGAGCAATGCAATACCAGAAAAAACAAGTCTCTGCATTATTTCTTATTGATTCATTTGAGACGACATGTCAATTAACTCGGGCTTCGTGCTTCATCGCGGAGTCCAAACACCTCAAAACAGATGAAAGCACTCGGTCTACGGTCTCGCTCTTTCATCTGTTTTTGACGGTGTTTGGAACACCTCGTTTTTGACATATTGCCGGCATAAACCCCATTCTTGCTCTCACTTGGTCATTCCAAAAAAGTCGACTTAACGATGGGCAACAAAGTTGGCCTTTTTCATTTTCAAAATGTCTATTAATGGAGCAGTCAGTTCTAGAATAAGTTTGAAGAAGTTTGACCAAGCGCGTCTTGTAACCGTAAGTGTGGATAAACCGAGCCATCGCTGCACTTGTTCTTGAAATTCTTGGTCCGAGTAGCAATCTGTCCATTCGCTACTTCAGTGGACCATCAACAAGTTCCAAAACTCACCCTTTCAAAAGGAGGCTAAATGCGAAACCTTTCTTGTAAAAATTAGTTTGTATAAGAATAAAGAAAAAACTTTCGTATCAATGGCTTTGCACGTAGGCTCGCTTTGAAAGTGAGAGTTTTGGAATTTGTAAATGGCCTGTTGGTGTAACTCGGAAATGAACTATTCAAAGGTGCATGTTTTTTCTTCCCTTTCTGTTTCAGTGGTGCATTGGAGGAAAATGCGAGGACAATGGGAAAGAGAAGATCGATGGAGGCTGGAGTGCTTGGTCTAACACTTACTCTAATTGCACAAGAACATGCGGCGGGGGTGTTCAACACAAAACGAGAACTTGCACAAATCCTCCGTAAGTAAAGTTGTACAATACAGTTTCTCTTGTGTCACTTGTCTCTTTGGTGTTCGTAATGAACCCCATGTGTCTCTGGTGTCCCTTCTGTCGTTAGTGTATCGTTTGTCCTTCCTTACCTTCCTTTCCTATTTTAAAATAACTTTGGAGTGGTGCTCCAAGTGTCCCTCAGTGCCCCTCCTTTTTCTAGCTGTCCTTAGTGTCTCTTGTGTCCCTAGCCGGCCCTTAGTATACCTGGGTATCGCTTATTCCCCCCTTATCTCTCTATAGTCCTCAAGTGTCCCGATGAGAACAATGAGGCCGCTTAAGAACATTAAAAACACAAGAGACACGGGGGCCACAAGAGACATTTAGGGAGATAAGGGACACTAGGAAAAGTGTCCCTTGTGTCCCCAGTGTCCCCAAGTGTCCCTAATTATTAATACGATCAACTCTTGCGTCCCAAGTGTCTCTTGCCTTGTGCTCTTTAATCACCAGAGCCCCTGTGTCCCCAGTGTGAATTTTAACCTTTGTGAATTCTCTTGGGCTTTCAATATTTGGCTATATGGAAAGTTGAGAAAAGTTCGTAATTTCTATTTATTATTATTATTATTATTATTTTTTTTTTTAACAACAACATCTTTATTTCTTACATTAAATATACAAATATCACACCACCTGCAAA